GACGCTCCCGTCACCGGGAGGGCCCACCAGCGGCACGCTGGCGGCAGTGGGCCTCATCCCGAATAGGCCGCGAGCCACATCGCGGCGGGTCCGGAGCACGCGGGCCGGAAGGTCCGCGCAATGCCCGCAGTTGGACTCGTCCAGCGCCGCGTGGGCCAGGCCCAGGCAGGCGACGCAGTAGTCGTGCTGATCCGGCGGCTCTATCGGTCCCGCGCAGATCTTGCAGATTGTTGCCATAGTGAATTCAACAGGTGAAGTAGAAGATTCTGGCGTAATTGTCGCGTGCACCGCATTTTATACTGCCGCTTGAGCTCGTCAGTATTTGCATGCGGTTGCATACTTCGCGTCAATTGGCCAGTCATTTGGACTGGCGGGAGCCAATAGGACTTCAGGAAAGGTTGGAAGGGAAGGAGTTCCCATAACGGAGAAATATCTCAGTGATGTCTCGTGAAAGCTCGAAAGGGAACCGTACGTCCATGTTTTTATAGTCTAATTTACCTTAAACCGCATAAACACATTTCATTACACCAAATACACAAAATAATGTTCTTTTTAGCAGCATCATATGACCCCTTTAAGAATTACAATTATCTTTTAAAACCTATCAAACTTATCTTTGTTAAATGTTTTGCTCGAAAATTGTTTGTAGCTATATATATCTTCAAATTAGCTACTGTTTGGTTTGATATTTTGTTAAATAATGCAGAGACAGATTATTAGTGGGGCTAAACTTTTTTGAATTATCCTACCTACATTTAAATGTAAGTATTAACCTAATGTAAGTAAAAGAACACGAGTTTAAGAAAAAAAAGCGCAAAGAAACTACTTACGTTTCATGGCCCCTGAACGGTTGGACTAAAAAATAAAAACAACACTTTTCATGCCACTGTAGGCTATTTACTTATGACCTGAAATACAGTAAACGTATACTGTGTGAAAGTTGATATGTTGTACGTTTGAACGCAATAGCACATCTACACGCTAGCGACGCGACTATACTAGATCGCTCCTGCTGTAATCACTGAGGCGCGCAACGAATTCCAGGAACATTCCGGTTTTGCCGCTTGCGAGCTCAAGAACCACCCAACGAATGCGTGGCTCCGCCCGATGTCAGGTGCAGCTCTCCTCGAGAGAGCACTAAACTTGCGCTCTCTGTCCTCAGTCAAATCACTTCATCTCACTCTCGAGACCACAAAGAACCACGCAAGTGAAAGTACTCATTTTAACTCACCTGGACGGATATATAGGCTATCGTGGATTTGCTCTAAATCATTTTGTAGGCTAACAGGTAAATTTCCTTTTGTAAAACTGCCAGACATTTCACAAATTTTGTGATAATATTATATGATAATTCTGACGTTCTGAAGTTACCAAAATGTGTAAAAAAAATGGAATGAAGGTTTCTTAATTAATAGGAATTAAAGGATTTATTAATGTTATTAACATAATGAAAGCATTTTTTATTCAATGTTTTGTCTTTTTGAAGACATAGAATTATAGTTTGTGTTATTAGGATTGAGGAATAAAAATTTAAGCTTACCCTACCGGTCAAAAGTTTGGAAGATTTAAAAAGATATGCTTTTTAAAGAAGTCTCTTATGCTTACTAAGACTACATTTATTTGACCAGAAATACAATAAATTATACAAAGTTTACAAAACAATGTTGTTAAATATTATTAAAATTAGTTTTCTATTGTAAAATATTTTAAAATGTAATTTAGTCCTCCGATAAGCAGAATTCAGCAGTCATTACTCATTACAGTTTTCAGTGTCAGATGATCCTTCAGAAATCATTCTAATATGCTATTTCTATTTTTACTGCATTTTATGATCAACCTTGGTGAGCATAAGAGACGTCTTTCAAAAACATTCAAAAATCTTAATTATTAAAATAGTTTGTCCTAGACTCTGTGTATTTTAAGAATTTGTCTATTTTTTTTATATATTTTGTCATCTGAAATGTAAATTTAAACTATATATTTATGTCAGAATTTATGTATGTATATAAGTGCGTGAACTTTACATATTGTTTAAATTTGAATATATATATATATATGTTTACTTGCTCAAAATCAAATCAATCTCTTTCTTTTTGATGATTAGGAGCTGAGAGCAACAGTAGACAGGATGAGTTGGGGAGCACTTTATGCCCAGCTGGGAGGGGTAAATAAACACTCCACCAGCCTGGGAAAGATCTGGCTGTCTGTCCTCTTCATCTTCCGCATTAGCATCCTTGTAATAGCTGCTGAAACGGTCTGGGGAGATGAGCAATCCGACTTCACCTGTAACACACAACAGCCAGGCTGCAAAAACGTCTGCTACGACCACTTCTTTCCAGTCTCACACATCCGTTTCTGGTGCCTGCAGCTCATCTTTGTGTCTACACCGGCTTTGCTGGTGGTTATGCATGTGGCATATCGCAAACACAATGTAAAGAAAGGACTTTTGGCCAACCGAGGTGGTGGTGTCAAAGGGGATAACCTGGAGAGCTTGAAGAAGAGGCATCTACCCATCACTGGGTCGCTGTGGTGGACCTACACCTCCAGCCTGTTCTTCCGGCTCCTTTTCGAGGCCGG